TGATGGAGACAGTTCTTCAATTGAGGCTCCCTCTTCCCAGGTGTGTCAAGCTGACAGCAAGGCTGAGCCATCACACCTGGAAACCTTGGGCCAGTCTCCAGTCCATCAGGAAGAGCCTTTGTCCCCAAAGGATGCCTTTTTCTGCCTACCCACGTGCTTCCTTTCCTCTCCTTTCTGCCCCCTTCCTTCCTCCCTCTCTCCCCTCCCCTCTTCTTCCCTTCCCTTCCCCTTCCCTTCTCCCCACTCCTTTTCCTGTTCCCCTTCCTCCCCTCCCTTCCCTCACCTTCCCTAAGCAGAGTGGCAGGAAAAGGAGAATTCTCAGGAGAAGATGGAAGCCAAGCTAAGTCAGAGCAAAGAAGATACAGAGAAAAACCACCAGGGACAGACCTTGGGGACCATTTATGAGTTGGAGAGGGAGAGAACCATTCAGAACAGGCTGTGGTGGTCTCACGTGGTGGTAACTGTGCTGCGGGGGATCACAGACAGTTCCACTTTTAAATTTTATTTTATTATCATTTTTTTTATTTTATGTGTATGCGTGTATTGCCTGCATCTGGGTAAGTGCACCCATGTCATGCAATGCCCACAGAGGTCAGAAGAGGCTGTCAGATTCCCTGGGACTGGAGTTACAGACAGTTGTTAGCTGCCATGTGGGTGCTGGGATTCGAACCCAGGTCTTCTGCAAGAACAACCAATGTTCTTAACCCCTGAGCCATCCCCCAGCCCCTCCACTTTTGTTTTGACATTACAATGGTGGGAAAGAGATTATCCATGCAAACATTCTTGGTTTGGCTTTCGCTGCAGTAATACTTGAGTTTTGTGAACTGCTCAACATTTTATTATGAAAGAGGAACTGTGTGTGATGGGTCTGCCCCACTGTGGGCTCCTGGAAGTGTCCTGAGCAAAGGAGGCAGAGCTAGGAGTTTGGGACCAGTGGGTGCATTCACTCAGAGCCAGGAGGAGTGTGTGGCCTTTACCTCCAGGGGGCAGCACCCGTGTGGATGAACACTAGCTTTCATGTTTATTCTCACATGCATGCATGTGTGTATTACAGAGGCTTTCAAAACCACCGACTGTTTTTACTATTATTAATATTTTGGTTAGCATACAACGAAACAGTTCGGGGCTGGAGAGATGGCTCAGCAGTTAAGAACACTGGTGGTTCTTGCAGAAGACCTGGGTTTGAATCCCAGCACCCACATGACAGCTAACAGCTGTCTGTAACTCCAGTCCCAGGGGATCCGACAGCCTCTTCTGATCTCTGTAGGCATCGCATGACACGAGTACACTTACCTACGTGCAGGCAATACACGAATACACATAAAATAAAATGAATAAAATTCAAAAAAAAGAAACGTAGTTCATTGCAACCTTTTCATGCACACACAGAGTTCTTTGCCCTCGTTCATAGTCCCACTGCTCCCCCATCTTCCCTCTCCTTCTTCCCTCCAAAAGTCCCCTTTTCTGATTTCATTATATACCTCCATTACTCTCTCTTGATTCCCTGAATCCCCTTGCTTTAGACGCCTGCTTTCCTTCCTTCCTTCCTTCCTTCCTTCCTTCCTTCCTTCCTTCCTTCCTTCCTCCCTCCCTCCCTCC